TAGACATCTTGCTGAAAATGCCTTTAATGCTGAAGATCCCTTTAAAGTTATCTGTCATATATGGTGTGAACTAGGTATTGGAAACAATTATCCAGCTATTTCAAAGCAAGAAATTCACCTTGATCTCAACTGTCTCTGTATTTTAGGGCAAAATGCATTTTGACCTAAAGCATATAGATAACCAGTCTCTGATTCCATTTTGCCCAAGTAAATAGAGCATTGGTCTTTCCAGGTTCCTGGTACCGTGTAGTCTGTGGGTGTTACTATGCGATTGTTCTTCTTCTGAAGCACTCGTGAGAATAAGATGTGCATCTGCTTATAGTCCGATAGTTCATCTTGGCTTCCCCCACCCTCCGTGTGTGTACTGAAAGCTTCCATGCATACGGTGTGTATGAGTATGCCACATGGATGATTTGGGAACTCTGCTGAGTTAACCCCCAAACCTCTTGCTTCAGTGGGATGCAGATGTTCTCACAAGAAGTGAGATTATGCACAAAATTTGGAAAAAAATCTCAGGAAGCCTAGTATGGAAACAGAAAAGAGAATTTCATCTTTCTACTTTACTTTACCGTCTTACAGTAATTAAAATATTTTTATAATGACAGCAGGATGAGTCAGCGTGTTAATTTAACAATAAATCAATTAGCACTTAGTGACTACCTTCTCTGAGGGATAAAAAGATGAATCAGGCATGGAATCTGCTCCCAAGAAGCTGATATTTCAGTTAAAGAAGGAAGATATAGATAGATACATAGATAGATAGACAGACAGACAGATAGATAGATAGATAGACAGAGTGCATTTTATAGACAGGTGACAAAACTTATCAAGGCTTACACAGCTAGTAAACAGGAAAGCTAGAATCCAATGCCAGATTTGTTGGACTGTGAAGCCAACAGTTTGTCCCCCGTGCCATATTGGAATCCGCGTCTTTCGCATTTCCCCTTTGAGCTCGCCAATCTCTGTAGTTAGTTCAAGATGTGGCTGACCAATTGATTGAGGAAGGCTCTGTTAGAGAGGCGGTAAGCATCTTGGTCTTTGGAGTCTCTGTCTTCCTGGGGGGCTAGAAGGTCAACTTTCTGCATCTCTCTTGCCTGGACCCAGGAAGGGGGAGGGCAGGGCCGTGGGAGAAGTGCAGACAGGGCAGGTTCTCCCGGGTGGCAGCATAAGAAGAAGGCCTCGGTAGGTCAGAATCAGAGCCCTGTTCAGCCCCACATGCAATCCAATTATTAAGCATGACCAGTGTTGGCAGGTTGAGGGTTTTTAGAAGACATCTTTATTGAAGGACAGATCAGGATCATGTTTAATCAGAACATTGAAAGTTAGAACCTGGTCAAGGTTAAGGTTAAGGAGCAGTTCAAGCCTTGGGTTGGCGGGGGTGGGGGTGCAAATGGATCAACTACATGAAGTTATAAAATTGTAAAGACTAATTCATTTCAATGAAAATAAGATTCTGGAGTTGGGATACAGGTTCTTTGGCAATCAATGTATCAGGGAGAGATAACAGTAGAAAAACTGGACTCAGGAATTAAGTCCAGCTGACTACTTGATTCAGATAAGTGAAAACACTGAAATATATACGAAAAGAAGGCAGCTAAGAATCCTTTCCTTATGTATTCATGCCTTCTTTTCATTCATGTGCCAAACAATTCGTGCTGTGTTTGAGAGAGCCTTGACCTGAGCCCACCTTGAGAACATTAGGACTTTGTTCTGCTGCTCTGGTTATTGATGATATTGGATTTCCTCTTTTCAGAAGATGAACTTATTGTTAGGAACAGTTTTAACAAACACCAAAACAGTTGCTGTCAAGTTGACTCTGACTCCAGGTAACCCCCTGTGTGTCAGAGTAGAACTGTGCTCCTCAGAGTTTTCAATTGCTGCTTTTTCAGAAGCAGATGGCCAGGACTTTCTTCCAAGGTGACTCTGGAACTCGGACCTCCGACCTTTTGCTTAGCAGCCAAGTGAGTTAACTGTTGGCACCACCCAGGGACAGTTAGTACTAATCAAATGTTGTTGCCGTGGAGGAGATTATAGATGCTTCAAGACAAGATAGCGGTTGAGAAAGGCAAACTGAATGTGGGGCACAGTGCTTCCTGGTATAACGATCCCTGAGAGAGCGTAGATGTGGGTCACAGAAACCGAAAGCTCACTTGTCCACTTAAGTGAGGGACTTTCCACTCTGGGAGAATGACACCACCTCTACAAGTGCCAGATAAAGCTGGCATTTGAAAATTACGTCCACATTCCACAAACGTGATACAAATGCAAAACCTTTGATTCAGGAAGCCTACTAGGCAAAATGTGGTAGTCCTGATTTACTGCTTCATTTCCGAGAGCGAGGAAGTATCCACAAAGGGGTAGAAAACCGGAAAAAGCACCTTCATTCGTTGGCTCATACATTCAACAAAGCTCTATCGAGAGTTTAACCTGTGCTTGGTTCTTTGCAAGGTGCTGGAGCCTCTCAGAGGTGCAGGCTTGGTCCCTGCCCTCGGGAAGTGCACAGTCTAGTTGGGGAGAAAGACACCTAGACACTCATGACGATGTGAAATGTCAGATGCAATGGCAGAGGTATGCAGAGTGTCAGACAAACGGCAGGCATGCTGATACTGTAATTGGAATAGGAACACCAGGATCCTGAAGGAGGTAATGCTCAGCTGCCTTTCATAGAATGCACAAACAAAACAAACAAACCACTTACTGTCGAGTCGATTCCAACTCATGGTGACCCCATGTGTACAGAGTAGAACTGCTCCATAGGGTTTTCAAGTCCAACCCTTTCAGAAGCAGATTACCAGGCCTTTCTTCCAACATGCCTCTGGGTGGAATTAAACCACGACCTTTCTGCACTTAATCTTTTGTGCTACCCAGGACTGTTACAGCATGCACAGGAGGGAGTTAAATGGAAGTGGCTAGCAAGGGATCTCCCCAGCAGGTGTAAGGTCAAGTTCATGAATGTCTGAAACAGCCTCCTAAACTCAGGGGTGTGTTCTGCTCAATCTCTTGCCTTTCTGCGATTTTCTGTTTTGCTCGGACTCGGTACCTTAGAATTTGGAATCTGATTATTCTCATACGTGCTAGCCGTACCTCCGCAATTAGACTGACATCTTCCGTAGGGGACAGAGTATAGGATTGGACACCAAGAAGGAGCTCAGGAGGTTGGTAACTTTTGGATCTTCACTCTCAAACATGAAGAGCAGCTCCATCTATACCACCTTCATTCATGTGGTTAGCTGCCGTAGGGTCGTCCCTGACTCACAGCAACCACATGCGTGATAGAATTGGACCGTTGTGATTCATAGGGTTTTCACTGGCTGATTTTTTGGAAGTAGATCACCAGGCCTTTTTTCCTAGTCTGTCTTAGTCTGAAAGCTCTGCTGAAACCTGCTTAGCATCATAGCAACACATAAACCTCCACTGACAGATGAGTGGTGGCTGTACATGAAGTGCATTGGCTGGGAATCGAACCTGGGTCTTCCCTGTGGAAGGCAAGAGTTCTACCACTGAAGCACCATTGCTCCTCTTCATATGGATACTGATATTGAAGGCAGCAAAATGCAGTTATTAATGTTTATTAGAATTATGATCTTTTTCATTTCAAATGGAATGAGATGATATTCATTGGCACTAATTCAGGGAAAGGCCAGTCTGAATTCTAACTTATTTAAAAGGGTTACAGTAAAAAATCTAAGATAAAAACGTTGGATTCTAGGAGCCTGCAGGGAGCTGTGTGATGGAATATTTAACAATGACTTATTTCCTGTAACCATTATTTGTCAGTGAGTGCTTCTGGGTGTTGGAACAGCTTATTCTCTGATACATTTTTACACGTCCCTCCAAATGCTGTTTATAAATTTAAATTGCTGTGTGAAAGAAGAAACGTTTGCTGAGTAGACTTCAGCCTTGATCCTGCACGAATGATTTCAAATCAGTGAATTCCAACTACATGAAATTTTACCTTAGTTCACATTAACGGATTTACTCTGTCAAAATGTGAAATATGGTTGGGGGAGGGGAGGGTGGAGGCAACATTTTGGGGGATTAACAGATTTCATAGGGACAGTCTGTCAGTTTGTTGTACTGTGACGCTTGTGTGTTGCTGTGATGCTGGAAGCTATGCCACTGGTATTTCAAATATCAGCAGGGTCACCCTTGGTGGACAGGTTTCAGTGGAGCAGCCAAACGAAGACAGGTAGGAAGAGAGGCCTGGGGACCGACTTCTCAAAATTAGCCAATGAAAACCCTATGCTTCACAGAATGTTGTCCAAGACTTTGACTTGCCTACTTTGGACAAGTCATCAGGAGGAACTGATTCCTGGAGAAGGACATCATGTTTTGTAAACTGTAGGCCAACAAAGGGGAACGAAACCTTCAGTGAGATAGATGGACAGGCACAATAGCTACACGGATGGACTAAAGCACACCAACGGTCATGAAGATGGTGCAGGACTGGGCGGCAACACTTCGTTCGGTTGTACGTGGTGTTGCCATGAGTTGGAGCTGACTGGAGGGCAACAACAGCATAGGAATAGTCAATGGAAAACAGAATTTAGGGTACTTCTAGTTCCTTCTTGGGCCACACATAGAATAACCAAAACCCAAACCCAGAGACATCGAGTTGATTCTGACTCATAGCAGCCCTATAGGACAGAGAAGAACTGCCCCACTGGGTTTTCAAGGAGTGGCGGGTGGATTTGAACTACCAAACTTTTGCTTGGCAGCCGAGTTCTTAACCACTGCATCACCAGGGCTCCACAGAATACATGTATTAAAAATAGGTATGCTTACAACTCTACGAGGCAGTTCTACTCTGTCTTATAGGGTCCTTATGAGTCGGAATTGACTCGAGGCAACGGATTTGGTTTTGATTTTGGTTTTGCTTATCCAATGTATGAGATCTCAGCACCCTGCATTTTGCATGGTGACTCCATCTGAGGATATTTAGCAGAGTCAATAGCTTCCTCTTTAGGGAATGAGCAACTTGCTCAAGATCAGTATACGTGCTGAGTCCGGAAGGGGTAGCTGCCCACCACCCAGTGCTCCGTGCATTACTGCAGGCTGCCTTGAAGCTGGGTGTGTTGGTTCACAGCTTGACCAGGGCTGTGCTGGGGAAGAGAGAAGGAACTCCTCCTTCTTTACCATGGGAATCTCAACAATTTTTTCCTCACTAACCCACATCATGTTCTGGTACTAAGGGCACCACAAGGTGGCTGCACAATGTGGCTGAGATGGGTGGGAAGCCCCCTCTCTTCTCTGGTTTGTATTTGATGGATCAAGAGGACCCAAAAGGTAGGAAGTTTGAGTCTACCTTCTTGCTAAATGTCTTCCTGTTTTAGAAGCATGCTAGTGTGTTGCAAGAGCTTCACAAGAGTGCTGGCACATTTCTACCCCTTGGAAGAAAGGCCTGCCAATCTACTGTGGAAAACTCAGCCACTGAAAACCCAACTGAGCACAGTTCTACTCTGACATACATGGGTTGCCATGAGTCAAAATCGACTTATGGCAGCTGGTTTTTTCAAGAGGACTCAGGTAATTTATTTCTACTGAAGGATTCAGAGTGAAAATTTGGTCACTATACAGAAGAGCCTATTGCAAGATAACCCTCTTGGTTTATTTTTTTGTACTATTTTCTGTATTATTATTATTTTCTTAAATCAAGTTCATCCTGACTTCAGATTTTTGAGGATGCCTTTATTTTGGGGTGTGTAAGCTTGAAGTTAAGAGCCCAGCTGTTAACCAAAAGGTCGGCACTTCGAATCTACCAGCCGCTCCTTGGAAACCTTATGGGGCAGTTCTAGTCTGTTCTGTATGGTCGCTATGAGTCGGAATCGACCCGATGGCAACGGGTGTGGTTTTGTTTTTGGTTCTGGGGGCTTGAAGAAAGCCTGTCTCAAGTGATCTGTCTTTGACGCAACAGGTAAGGGCAGTGCCGTGGCATTGGCCAATTCTGAAGTTCTGAAGGAGACTTTGACCTTTCCATCGCGTGTGCTGTGTGTCCATTTCTCACTTCTTTTTCAAAACCACCTGATCGGAATACAGATGATTCTTGTGATGCAGAAACACTGGGGCATGTGAACCAAAGCCGCACTTTTATGGGCTTATTTTTAAGAAGGAAAAGTGCTGACTGGTGCCAGATGAGAGTCACCTTTGAATCATCTGGTTGTATCTACGGCTAGCTTGCACACCTCTTGCTAAATGTTTTCCTGTTTGTAGCCGGACGCATGCTAGTGTGTTGAAAGAATTTCACAACAGTGCTGGCCCATTTCTCTTACAGTTCTTCCCATATTTTTTGCCTACTTTGATAAAATGCCTCTGTAATTTGGGCTGAAACTACATCAGGGAAAAGTTAAAGAACGGACTCCAGACAGAGATTTTCTTAAAAGTGTATTTTGGCCTTTATAATCTGGGTACTCTTTATTCTCTTCAACTCAGGATTTTAGTCTTCCAGTACATTGCTCAGAGTTAGGTGATCATATACATTTATTTGCCCGGGCAGTACTGGTTTACACTTAGTTGTCTTGGTATAATTAGTAATAATGTACATTTTTGCTCTCAAAAAAATATCCTGGAGGGAAAGATTAGTTCAAAGGACTGATGGACCACAACTACCACGGCCTCCATCAGACTGAGTTCAGCACAACTAGACGGTGCCCGGCTACCACCATAGGCTGCTCTGACAGGGATCACAATAGAGGATCCGGGACAGAGCTGGAGAAAAATGTATAACAAAATTTTAACTCACAAAAAAAGACCAGACTTACTGGTCTGACAGAGATGGGAAAAACACCGAGAGTATGGTCCTCGGACACTCTTTTAACTCAGTACTGAAGTCACTCCTGAGGTTCACCCTTCAGCCAAAGATTAGACAGTTCCATAAAACAGAACGAGACTAAATGGGCACACAGCCCAGGGGCAAGGATGAGAAGGCAGGAGGGGACAGGAAAGCTGGTAATGGGGAACCTAAGGTCAAGAAGGGGAGAGTGCTGACACATGGTAAGGTTGGCAACCAATATCACAAAACAATATGTGTATTAATTATTTAATGAGAAACTAATTTGCTCTGTAAACCTTCATCTGAAGTACAAAAAAAAAAAAGTCCTGGCTTGGATTGGTAACGGGCGCACAACAGCATTAATGTAGTTGATTTCACTAAATTGTACACTTGAAAAATGTTGAATTGGCAAATGTTTATTATATATATCTTTACAACAATAAAAGAAAAATGTCCTGGCTTGTACAATATGTTATGTAGTCACTCTACTTAGAGTACACGCCAAAACAATGAAACAAAACAAACCCATTGCCATTCAATCACGGTGACCCTGTTACAGAGCAGAACTGCTCCATTGGGTTTTCTTGGCTGTAATATTTACAGGCGTTTTGGTGGCACAACAGTTAAGCATTGGGCTGCTAATTGAAAGGTTGGTGGTTCGAACTCACTTAGCAGCTCAGCAGGAGAAAGACCTGGCAATCTGCTTTTGTAAAGATTACAGCCTGGAAAACCTTATGGGGAAGTCCTACTCTGTCACATGGGTTCGCTGTGAGTTGAAATTGACTCGACACCTATCGACAACAGCAATAACTATCTTACGGAAGCTGGTGGGCAAGCCTTTCATCTGCAGCCCGCTGAGTTAGTTTGAACCGTCAATCTTTAGGCTAGTAACCGACCACAAACTGTTTGCCCCACCCACGGACCCTGTGATACCTCTCTAGCTCATGGGTATTCTGAAATGCTCAGAATTTTTCCCAGTCTCGCACATTGCGTTTACTCTGCATTTTTGAAGATGCACCTTTATAGCTGGTCCTGCGTGAAAAAGTAATCCTATTTATTTCAGAGCCACTCATGGTATAGTGACCGAAACTTTGCCCCGGTTCCTTTAGAAAAAAGAAATGTACCTGGTTCTTCTTGATCCGTTTTCAATTGCAAACTTAAGGAGGTATACTTCCCCCATTTCTTATGTCCTCTGATGTCTATGCAATGGAAGTAAAAACAACCTTTAAAAAAAAAATACTCAGAGGGGATTGAAAACGCCTTGACATTTGGGTGTGTTCCTGCAGCCCCTTCTCGCCTGCCTCACAAGTGGATCTATTATGCGTTCTTCCCTCCGCGCGGAATGTTTGTGTGGTACCATGAAGTTATAACGGAGCTTGTTATTCTATCCTGCCGTCTGTTGCACTTTTATAATGTAATTTCCCCAGATTCCTTTAGGAATGTTTCATCACGAAGGCCTGCTCTCGCAATGCCCGAGGGAGTTGTTCTGTCTCTATTTTTCCCTGCTCTTTTTATTGCTCAGTGCTTAATGAACTTTTCTTGGCTGTTTCAACTGTCAGCATTTAAAGTCTGAATGTTGGTTGGCTTTCTCTGTGCTAAACTGGACCGTTCAGTGGCAATTATAGTCCTTAATCACCATGAGAAATTTGAGGGAAAGGTAAACCTTCCAAAAGTCTGTCAATGCATGAGCAGCCGGAAGTAAGCCTGGCAGAAAAAAAGGAAAAGAGAAAATCTAAGTAAGGACCATTCTGTTCTCATGAGACTGAGTGTGGCATATTCTGGAAAGTCCTATGGAAATAAAGCCAAGAAGAAAAATAAAAGAGAGAGATGCCACATTGATTTCCCCTTTTGCTGCTATTGTTTATAGTACACAATTGGCATTTGAGCTATTTATTCGTGGGTTAATAAATCATTAATGGAATGCCTACTTGAAACCAGACGGTGCTCCAGGCATTATTCTGGAGACTCCTAGACAAATTTGACATGATTTTTCACTTCACAGAACTCTGAGATTAGTGAGAGGACAAGCAATAAACTGATTCTTAGGGAATCGCCTCCCAAGGGAGAGAGACATAGAGTGTCAGGAAGGCACAGAGAAGCACCCATCTCATCCTGGGAGAGGCCAGGGAGGTTGATGAGCAAGCTGGGAGCCTGGGAGCCAGCAAGACTATGTATGATGGTAGACAGAAGGCCAGTCTGCAGGGATGGTATGTTTTGGGAATTACGAATAGCTCTGAAAAGCCAGAGAAAAGGTTCTTATGGGAGACCTCTGACTTACTCACTCAGTCATTCATCCCACAGTTACTTATTAAGAGCCTTCTATTGGGCTAAGTGTGTGAAGCCCACATTTACACAGAAGGGTCTAGAAGAGCAGGAGAGATCATGACGAGCCTTGTGTGCTGATAGAAGAATTGCAGGTAGTATCCTGAAAGCCATGGAGAGCCACGGAAGGGTTTAACCAAGAATGATAGGATTAAACTTGTGTTTGGGCTATTGTGTGGGGAACTCATTGGTGGGGACCTAGCCTGGAGGCAGACGCCTGGGCAGGTGAGAAATGATAAGCAGATGGTAGTGGAAATGGAGATTTTATTTATCCAGTGAATCAAATCTATTTATTATTGGATAGCAAATGAGAGGGAAGCATCTAGGATGACCATCAGAAATCTATTTTGGATAACTGCCTGGATGGTGATGTCATTTACCTAAATCATGGAGAAAGGAGGTTGTGGAAAGATGATGAATTCAGTTTTAGATGTGTTTTAAAAGTTTGAGGTGCCTGTTGGAGTTACAGGGGTGATGGTCAGAAGGCTGTTGGGTCATTAGGGCAGGTCATTAGGAAAGAGATATCATCTTCAGGTATAGATTTGGGTGTTATCTGTTTATCAATTATAGATGAAGTCATGGGTGTAGGTAAGATCACTTAGGAATAAAATAATAGTAACTGAAACTCTTGAGCACTCACTCTATGCTAAGTGCTGTACTAAGAACTAATCCACTTAAATCTTCCATCAGGCCCTAGGAGGTAGGTACTATTTTCAATAATCCCCCTTTCACAGGTAAGGAATTTGATATAAAGAGCAGTTAAGTAGCTTGCCCAAGGTGGCACAGCTAGTTAAGAAGACTGGTTGGCTGGGAATGGAGCTTGAGGTATTTAAGGGAGAAGAGTAGCAGGGAAGAGGAGCCCCAAAGGAGGTTGAGAAGGATGTGCCCGAGATCCTGTGAGCGAGCTCTCCTCCGGAAGCCAGAGGGTAGAGTCAGTCTCTCTCTCTTGCTTGGTGCTCTCCCCAAGTTTCAGGTCTGATTACCGTCCACCATACCTGCTGTGCTTTCTAGTCTTTTCTGATTGTTGCAAAGTAGCCCCATGTCTTAAGAAAGCACAGGATGCATGATCTAGGGTGTGCTATTGGAATGGGAGGCCTGGTGTCCACAAGATTGTGAGCCTCTCTCCTTCAAATCTTGAATCAAAGGAAGAAAGATCCATACCTGAATTTGTTCCTTTTTAAAATAAGAGTTCAGC